ATGATATGAAAGGGGAGTCACCCATCCTTATATAGAGGAGAGAAGAGGGCCAGATAAACTCTATCAGAAGAATTCCTAATCTATCAAGGTTTCATTCTTATCTTAGAAGAGTGATTATATTAAAATTCTATTTACTGAACTTGATCTCAAATATTGGCTTTATCTATTTGTGGAGTTCAAATAAATTAAAACATAAGAAAATATGTAGGCTATTGGGCCACACTAGAAAAATAAATCTAACATGTAGGACACGTGGCATCCTCTTATTCATTTGGAAGTTAAAAGAAGTTATGGAGATGATGGAGAATATGAAGGACAAAGTAGATGAGTGGAAGTACACATGGCAAGACAAGAATGAAGATGGAAGAAATGGATAGTTACTAAGTAGTTATTGCTGTATTTTTTCCTCTATAAATAGCCATTAATGGCTACATTGTAAGATCTAAAATTCATAATCAAAGACAATTGATTTCAATATTTCTTGTCATTTTCCTTATCTTAGGAGTAGTTTAACATAGATTTATATTTCAAAGCATTTATTTTCAGCATTTCCATTTCGAAGCATTTTATGCACTTCCTTTTCGAAGCATAGGAGTAGAAGTAAGTAATTATTACTTTGATTGTTCACTCAATCGTCTTTCTCCGTCCCTCTTTCTTCTTTTACTTTTTCTTTTCTCTACACTTGGCAAATTTGAAGTCCTCTTCGTTGAGGCAAAAGAACCGTCAACACAATCGCTTGATAATTGGCTTGAATTTAATTTTTAAGGATTTTTCAATCCTTGCTGGCACGCTCGCATTTATGATATTTTTCTTCGTAGGAAAAATAAGCTAGCAACACTGGTACATAATACCATATCAATTCATTTGGAAACAAAAAGTCAAATACAACTTTCTTGAACATGAATTCCTACCAAACGCATATCTACATGTAGTTGCAAAACAAAAATGGTGTTAACCTTCATCCAACAATTTTAAACTTTAAAATCGCAACAATGAAAGAAAACAGAGCTTCAAAACTGTAATAGTGAAAGAAAACAGAGTTTCGAACTGTAACAATGAACGAATGTAGTATTTGAATGTTCTCTAACTTTCATCCAACAATTTTGAACTTGAAAACCGCAACAATAGAAGAAAATTGAACTTCAAAACCACAATAACGGGAAAAAAAATAGCGTTTCAACGACAACAATAGAAGAAGAAAATATTCAAATGTTCTCTCATCACCAATGTGTAAAGAAACTGCTATAAAAACATATAATGAAAACGTATCTATTGATTCCTCCTAGATCTCTAATTACAAAAACTTCCAAAATAAAAATAACAAAATATGAAAAACGTTATATCCTATTGTGTACAATACTTACTATCAAAATAAAACAAATGGTATAATAGTCCTTAAAAAATTATAAATAAGGTAAAAAGGACCTTCTAGGATACAAGTGTAAATATATGAGACTTGATGGAACACATGAAAATATTGTAAATTTATTAGACTATAAATCTACTAAAAGGAATTTATAAATAAATCTCAATATATATATATATATATATATTTTATTATAAGAATAGAACTTTCCTTGCATAATTTTTTATAATATAATTTTTTTTGCACATGATCAAGTTGGCGGAGAAAGGGGTTGTTTGGCAATTTTGCATGGTTATAATTATTATGGTGGAGGTTTTATGCACATGAGCGAGTTGGCGGAATTAGGGGGTTGTTTGGCAATTCTTTATTAAATTGAGATTCTATTGGCAATTCTTTATTAAAGATATCAAAGTTGGCCGACTCTTCATTTGACAGTCAGTTTCAATTATTTTCACGCTGGCCCCGCTACATGTTGATGTTAGGGGTGTTTAAAAAAAATTGATGAGATCGATAAATCTATTTAATTCGGTTTAAATTGTTAGTTTGGTCTAATCTTTTTAGTTACGGTTCTGATTTTGATTTTGAAAATGATAGAATTGTTTAAATTGGTCCAATTTTTTATTCGGCTAGAGTTCTAAATCTAACTGGACTGTGACATATTTATTTATTATTTTTTATATTTCTATATAAAAAAACTTAAATATAAAATACTTCTTATAAGATTTGAACATTAGTCATTATTACCAAACTAATTGTTATTAATTTATTTGCTAACATAAAATATATGTTACATTTATTGTTATATAAAATTTTTAGAATCAATTTTTTTGGAAAAAAAAAAAAATCAGTTATTAATTTCCAAAACTAGACTAATCTGATCTGTATATGCTCCCACCACATATGAAAAAGTTATTAGTTGGTTTACTGGAAATACTACACGCTGCATCTACATCACATTCTGTGTTTGGCAAGTGGGTTTGCAGGTTTTTTTGGCTATTTTAGCCACAAAAAACAAAATAGGCTATTTTAGCCATAACAAACAAAATATCACATCCAACCCATAATCATTACATTGTTCTCTCACAAAAAAACTCAAAAAAGCCAAAAAGTCAAAAAGCCCTTCCCAAACCAAGCTTTTAAGCCCAGGCTAAAATAGTCAAAAAAGTCAAAAAGCTAAAAAGCCAACCCACTTCCCAAACGGAGACTTTATTAGTTAGACTTTTTGTTGATGGGTCGTGTCTAAATAATACTCTCAATTTGTGAGATCATCAATCAATCACAATATTGTTAAGTTGTGTTTAGTTGATAAATTTGAGTAGAAATTTAAAAAAATAAATAAATAAATAAATAAATAATATATGAAAATGTATAAAATTTAATTATATTTTAATTATATTTTTTATTTCTTTTTCTTACTAAATTTTTACATAAATTTATTAATCAAACACAATCTTAAATATTTGTTGAGCTTTTAATACATAGGTATATAAAGAAAATGATTTGTAAAAAGAAATTTCTACATAAATAATATTCATAATAAAATATCAATGATACTTTTAAAATTATGAGAATAATAATGGTTGTTTTTTTTTATTGAAAATAAATATATTATGATAAGTTATATTATTATTTATGAAAATTTCAATACAATGATGATGTCCATCATTATTAACATGCAATTATAATTAAATTCAATGAAAATATGAAATTTATTGAATTGTTAGTTACATTTGACATGTGAGATTCATCCTCTATGTGTTTCTTTACTATTAGTTAGTGATATCATAAGTCAATGATGATGTAGTATGACTATTATATTAAATTTTTGTTGAAATTTTGTATAAAAAAATATTTTATCATTAAATAATTTATTTTAAAACTTATATCCATGATTTTTTTTTATATTGTCCATGATATACTAGTTACAAATAATATATATATATATATATATCTTTCTTGAAGTCTTGAAGTCCATCGTAAAAATTTATGTAAAATATTTTTATAAATTTTTTTAATATTATAATTAATAAATACCCCTTTTAATTTAATTTCTTAGCTCCACTGTTGATCTAAAACATTAGCTTAGCTAATCGTTAACTTAAGACATCCAAACAGGTTGTCCACTATGTATTTGTGGCTAGGTTTTTAAATGGTTTTTTGTGTTTGTCTATGTATCATTTTTTATTCTATGTCTTGTCTTGTCTCTCGTTACAGTTTTGTCTTTACTTGGTCGAGTTATATTACTCGTCATCATGTGGGAATATGAACTAGCGGCGAAGTCAATTTTGAATGAATTGTATAAAAATGGGAAATCAACAAGTACAAGGAGCTTCTTATGCCTTTTTGGTTTTGTTTTTATTTTTATTTTATTTTCTAAAAATTAGAAATAAAATTTTGTTTGGTATAATATTTTTGTCTTTTTAAAAAATAGAATTGATTTTAAAATTTTTAAAGACAAAAAAATATTTTGAAAATAAATGAAAAAATATATACATAAAAATATATTTAGCAAGTTTCTAAAAGTAGTGACTGATGGTATAAGATAGACGAATGCAGTGATCAGAGATGAGTGGCTGAAGGTGGCCATCAGAGTTAGCAACAAAAATATTGTCAGTAGTTATAGGATGACCGTTATTGGAGGTCACGATGGTGATTAGCCTATTGTTGGAGAGGCGTCGGAAGATAGGTATAGCTTATTAATAGTCCGCGACCTATGATGGGTGTTGACTATAGGTGATAGAGAGAAAAGAGAAATTATTAAATACAACTTTTTCCTATTTTTGTAAACAAAAAATGATAAATTGACAACGTTAACAAAAGATCCCTAACAAATTATCTCGAAATTTATTTACCATCTCTCAAAAATTTATTCAATAAATCAACAATTCATGTAACAGGTCACGTCATCATGAGTAAATTTAGCCTTCGTTTGGGAAGTGGGTTGGCTTTTTGACTTTTTGGCTTTTTTGGCTATTTTAGCCTGGGCTAAAAAGCTTAGTTTGGGAAGGGCTTTTTGGCTTTTTTGACTTTTTTTGTGAGAGAAGAATGTAATGATTATAGGTTGGATGTGATGTTTTGTTTGTTATGGCTAAAATAGCCTATTTTGTTTTTTGTGGCTAAAATAGCCAAAAAAGCCTGAAAAAACCCTTGCCAAACGGAAGCTTAGGAGTGTTTTATGGATCTTAAATATTTTCCCAATGTTTTAAGAGCCAAAGTGATGGATCAAAATTGAATAAATTTGCAGACAAGTGAATTTTTTTTGAAGCGTAAGTGAGAAAATATTATATTTTAAGGGGAAAAAAAGTAATTTATCTAAATTTGTATGATAATCTATTATTATGTCACGTGAGTATATTATTAATATATTATTTTTTCACCCACTTGGTTTTGATACATGAAACTAATAATACATGAAATTAACGGTTGGTTTGACAACTTAACATTTTAATTAAAGAGTTAAAAAAAATTATAAAAAAATAAAAAAGAACACAAAAGACTACAAAGTAAGGTAAAAAATTCCTCTCTTTATTTTTTTACAAGTTTCTTTAGAAGTCAAAAAAAATCATCCTCAAACATTCCAGTATTTTTTTTATTTTTTTTCATCTCATAGTTTAGCTAAAAAACTACTAAAAAATTACTTCGCAAATGAGTTCTAAATACATGAAATTGATAGTACAAGGGATGAAATAGAAAAATTGACAACAGTTGAGGAAATAAAAGTGAAACTAATTATTTATGGTAGTTCATTGTGTCGGTACCTTCATGCTGTGTTTAATTGGAGGATTTGTGAAGAAATTTGGAAATGAAAAGAGAAAAGGTATGTGAAACTAAGTGAAATGTAAGTATATTTTATTTTTATTTCACCTACCTTTTCTCTTTTTCTTTTCAATCTTTCCCTTTCAAAATTCTTTCCCAAATCCCAACCAAACAGCGTTAGGTGTTTTTCAAAGTATATTTTGTAAACAAGCAGCTTAGCCTATGGGCTCACTAACTCCCAACTGTTTTACTCGTTTCTTAATGTTGTTGTACCATAACTCTCATCACCCTCTGGAATCTCAGGTACAACTGTTCTCCAAAACCAATGCTTTCTCCACACGAATATCATCTCTTCAATGGGTACTCCCTTTGTTTCAGGCAAGAATATGTAGACAAAGATGGTCATGACAGTGATCCAACCGGCGAAGAACAGGAAAATTCCGAATTTGAAAGCACAGAGAAGGGAGAGGAAAGACTGGCCTATGGCGAAGGTGAAGAGGAGGTTGACAGCCACTGTGATGCTCTGCCCTGCTGATCTGGTTTCAAGTGGGAATATCTCACTCGGCACAGTCCATCCTAGTGGGCCCCATGACCACCCAAAAGCCGCCACGAAGAGGCAGATCACCACCACCACTAGGATTGAGAAGCTTTTGGAGAGTCCCTTGTCACTGCTGAACTTGAGTCCCAAGATTATGGCCACTATGACCTGTTTCACAGGCAAAGAGTGTTGTCAGGTGAGATTAAGCTATATTAGATGGACTCTTCTAACAATATGTTTGGGAACCTAGGACAGAAAAGAAAAGAAAGGATTATTTAAGTTATAAGAGAAGAGAAAAGAAAAGAAATGATTGTGATTTCTCTCCTTTTTGTTTGGATAAGGAAGAAATAAAAGAAAAGAAATGATTGTGATTTCTGTCATTCTTGTTTGGTTAGATTTCATTAAGAGAAAAGAAAAAAAATTATTTTATGTTATATTACCAAAATAACCTTTTTATATTTTCAATCATTTTATTTCTTTTATTTTTATAGGGACAAAATTGGTATTATGAAAATAGTGATTTATTTTCTCTCCCAATCTCTCCACTTTTGGGAAGATTGAAAATGAGGCTTATAAGATAAATGAGTTTCTCTCCATTTCTCTCTACTTAGATTATCCAAACAAGTAAAATAAATACATATTTCTCAATTTCTTTTCTTTTCTCTCCAAATCACTCAATCCAAACCACTCAATCCAAACATAGCGTAAATGTATGGAGTACTCGTATTGAACATTTGACATTTGGGTATGTATGAGATATTTATCTAAGTTCTAACACGTGCAGTTGGACATTCACCTAAGAGCATCTTCAACGGTAGTAGGCATTTTACCTATCTGAATATTACTATAAAGTATATATATTTTATTTTGCCTATCAACTGTTTTATGTTTTTACTCCAACCATGCTCTTTATTTTAGCTATTTATCCAAATACTATTAATTTTATAGAATGCCACGTCAACAACAAAGATGGAGGGAAATGATCCTCATGAATGAATACATTTTGCCTAGCGTTGAAGGCTAGCTACATGTAGCTAGTGAATATGAGTTGAGGCAAAATGCCTAATCATATGCCTAGTGCATTGGAATTGAAAAAAGTGAATCACACTAGGCATTTTAACTAACAAGTATTATATGCCTAGTGCATTGGAGATGCTCTAACAAGCATGTTTTGCAATTCAAGTTAAACATAAAACTGTGCATAAAACCTCATGTTACGCATGTGCACAGATGAAATTCACAATGAGACACAAATGTGAGACAAAGGGTGTTGTCTCCTAGTTTCCTTGGACAAGGGTTTTCTCTCCTTGTCGCTCAGCTTGGTGTCGCTCCCTTCCTGCACTCTTCCTGTGAATTAGATGAATTGGACGCTTAGACACATATCTGCACAAAAGTCTACGCAAAATAGAGGTTAAGCTCCGGTAAGATGTTGATTCTAGGAAGAGTAACTTGTTCATATAATTAACAATTCTCTCAAAATGTTATTGAGAACTTGTGTCCATGTTTCCGTTACAGTTATTGTTCAAGTATTGCACAATGAGAGGAATAGTAACTACGTTACAAAAAGTGGTTCATGAGCTAAAAAGAGTCGTTTGAAACTATCCAACTATTAAAGTTCATTGTATGTACCAAATGCAGAGAGTCTCATTGAGTATATCATGTTTTCTGAATGTATTCATAAATGCTGTTAACTATTTACCTGACATATAATCATTTGAATTCCTCCGCCAATCAGCAACGCTCTCCTACCCCACTTATCAACTGTCATAATAGACACCACCGTGGACGAAGCCAAAACCGCTCCAGTCAACGCTGAAGAGTAGAGTGCAGCATGCCCTCCAAATCCCAAACTCTGAAACAAAACTGGTGCATAAAAAAGGATCGAATTGATCCCCGTGAGGATCTGAAATGTCGGCATAAAAATCGCCATGACCAACTGAGACCTATTCCTCCTCTCAAGGATGTTTCTAAAGGGATGTTCAATCGAATTTGCTAACTCGCTCGCGTCAACTATATCTTGTAACTCTGCTTGGACATTCTCGGTCCCCCTAATTTTTTCTAGAATTTCCCTCCCCTTTTCTGTCAATCCACGCTCAATTAGGCTGTTTGGTGTCTCTGGAAGAAATATTCCTCCAATGGTCATTACTAGAGCCGGTGCTGCAGCCAGGCCTAGGGAGAGCCTCCAACCCCATGGATTGAGCTTCTCTGTTCCGTAGTTGATCATGTTTGCTGTGAAGATGCCTAGTGTTGTTGCTAACTGAAACATCATGTTTAGGGCTCCTCGGAGATGCCTTGGCGCCATTTCAGACAAATATAAAGGAACCGCCTTCAAACAATAATAAAATAGAATAAACAATAATGTAACGTCTAAATTATCTGTTGAATTTGTGAAGAGAAGCAAGTCATGATCTTTTTTTTAATTTCTTCTTTTTGAACATTTGGTGTTTTTCCACAGAGGAGTGTTACTAGTTTACATGTCCACCTCAATTTTGAGCTTAAAGTTTTAAAAATTAAAGAATACATGTATTGAATATGAGTGGCAGCTTAAGAATTTTTGTTGATGGGTCATGCAAAAACTTGAACACAAATTGTCATATCATAAACAAAAGTAATACTAACACATTGATGCTAATTGTTTTTGTCAAAAACCACAAATATATGCATTTTTACAATTGTGCTTGATGAGGTTTCATATTTTGGAATTGGCATGAAATAACCTCATTACCAATACTATCAAATATCGGTTTCAATCTATGTCACTAAACAATCATTTATCCATTGATCTTCATCACTGAAAAAGCTCTTTCTACTTGCGGTTGTGACTAGTAAAAGTAAAGCTAATTTCACAAACAGGTAAGAGTAATGGATATACATTATCTTTCTCCGTCTTTGCCAACTTTCTACCAAGATATTCGATTCCTAGTAGTTCTAAAATTTCATTGTTAGAGCACATATCTATAATGAAATTCTAATGTTGAATGTCAAGTATCATTAAGTCTACTGAAAAAAAAATATATATGACGAATAAAAAAAGTGAAAAAATAAAGGAATGGGCAGAATGTTGAATGGGGTGGACCCCTGGGCTGAGTTCATTACTTTTAACCATGGGTCAAAGTCTCCAAGCTAATTTTTCATAATGGGTTATACAATAATTTTAGATTTTTTTTAAGGTCAATTCAGTGCACGGGACTCCTACTAAAACGTATTGAATACTGATCCATGAAAAAACAATTGCAGGAAAAAGCAATGTTTACCTGATTTCCGAATCCTATGCCAACGCCAAGCATGATCCTACCCAAGATGAGCATTGCAAGGTTGACGGCTGAAGCATCTAAAGTTGCTCCAATAATGAAGCTAAGCCCACCACAGATTATGCTTCCACGACGCCCGTACTTTCGTGTAACAGGAGATGCCACGAGTGATGCCACCAGACCAGCAAGATAGAGGGAAGATGTGAATGCAGCTAGGCCTTGGTTGTTGTACTTGCAGTAGTTGTTTTCATGAGCATGCATTTTGTTCTTGTACACTACTGGGAAGAATTTCTCAAGGAATCCATTCATTGATGTCACCCCTCCTGTTAAAAACAAACAAAAAAAAAACAAAAATGTTTGGAGAGAAGATGTCTTATTATTTGTGTTGATTGTGTTAAATGACTAGTTACCATAAGAGTTCTATGGTAGGTTTGTGCCTCGGCTTGTTTCTGTCTCTCTTCTTCCATTCACAAGATACACACGCATGCTTGATTAACACAATATTTCCATTTGATTAAGTTGTCAATTTTTGACGATGCATGTAACTCAAAATCAATCTTTAGGAGAGAGTAATTTGCATGTAACTCACAACCAACTGTACGATCGTGGCTCAAGATTTCCTCCACATCATGTGGTTAGAACTCTGAAGTCAATTAAAAACAGAGTTTCTTTTGTTTCATTAACAGTGTATAGAATTTGAGAAATCCATGTCCATTCCTTCCTACTAGAAGCATGGTTACCTTGTATCTATGGTAGAGTGAGTGAGTGAGTTTTTGTTGACTTTTTTCATCTTTAGAGTTTTTTTCTTTTTTTAATTTAAAAAACTTTTCAATTTAAGATCCTTTATACTAGACGGATATGGAACTTTAAAAATAAAAAAATAAGGGATTTTTTTATTTTTTTTAAAATTTAAAAAGTTTTCAATTTAAGATCCTTTATTCTAGATGGATAAGGAAATTTAAAACGAAAAAATAAGGGATTTTTTTTTAAAAAAAAGTTAAAAAGTTTTTTTTTTTTTTTTTTTTTAGTGATTTTTTATTAAAATTATTTTTTATGTTCTTTTAGACTAGATGAACCTAAAAAATAAAATAAAAAATTGACACAAATTGTAAAGACAAAAAGTTTAAAAATAAATGTAAATTTGTACCTATTGCCAAATTGAGCCTTAATTGCTTATTTTTCCAATTTAATTTTCATATAATTTCAGTAGTGAGCAAAAAAAATACCAGACTAATTCGTTTGGAAACATGCTTTTTTAGTAACTTTTTGACTTTTTAGCTAAAATATGATATAAAAAAAACAAGTATGTTTGGGATGACTTTTTAATTTTTTACGAAAAGATATGCAAAAAGTAAAAATTTTTTTTTTTTAATAACTTTTTAATTAAAAAAGTCATTTGTCAAACCAGGCCATGGGACCAGATATTACCTTCCTTTTATCTCCTACTTTATCCAGAAGTTATTCAATATTCCTAAATCTCCAACACAAAATAGTAAATTTCATAATTTAGTTTAATAATTACCCATTTAAGAACACTATCTAGTCTTACTCAAAAAATATTAAATAATTTCTCTCCAAACAGTTGGTTACCCAACCAAACAAGACGCTCTTTACTAACCGTAATTCTCAAATTCAAATCTGGCCGTTACGTTTATTTTGACAATTTATTTTACGAGTTAAAAAAATACTATAAGAAATTAATTCTCTCTACTTTTTACACGTCTTTTTTTTATAATAAAAAAATTAATTAAAATAATTAATTTTCAAAATAATTTGTTTCTCCTTCCTTATTCCCAATTGTTAGAAGAAAAAAAAAGAAAAAAAAATATCGTTGGCCATATCATAAAATCTTGTGTGTTTAGCTTGATTCTGGGTAGGTATTCTATTATCATCCTACCAAAACAAAAACAAAAAACAGAAGCAAAAACAGAAACATGATTGGAGTAAAATGAAATGAAACAAACCAGAAATTCCGATGTCGTAGCCGAAGATGGAGCCGCCGGTGGCGGCGACAATACAAGAAATGACGACATAGGCGGTGACCCTGCCTTGGTATTGCCCAGCTCTCTCTTTTGAGACACCTGATGGTCCAAATGACCCACCTGCCATTTTCTCTTCCAAACAGGAAACCCCCCTTTCTTCTTCCTCACAAACACCTTATATATATATATATATATAGAGAGAGAGAGAGAGAGAGAGAGATTACTCTAATCCTCTTTCTTGGCTTGACTATATAAATAAATATACATGTGAATGATAAGTCCAGTTGACTTAGATAGAGCCAGCAGCCAAGAACTCCCGCTTTTCAAATCTTGCTATAGAGAGAAGGAAAATAATTTGTCGATATGTATAATAGGAAAAATTCTATGGTATTTTCACTTTAGTTACGGTTTTTATGTCCAAGACTTCTTCTCGTTGATTATAATATTATTTTGATTAAAAAAAATTGCAAAAAAAGTTACTCCCTCTCCCTCTGTTCCAAAACAGTGATCTCTTTTGGAAAATTTAAATTTTTTTTTGTAATATAATTATTACGTTTTAAAAAAAGTTAACTTTTCAAATTGACCTTTAATAGTACATTTATTAGGAAATATTAATATCATAATTATACTTTTTATATTATTTATGAATTTAAGAGAAGGACAAAATAAGGAATTTATATTATTTTTATACTTGATTTTTGAAAATGGACTAATATTTTGGGACAATAAAAAATAGAATAAGAGACTAATATTTTGGAATGGAGAGAGTAATTAAATAGAATCTTTATTTTAAAAATAATCAAATGTAACACCCAATTTGAAAATGGTGTTATTTGGTGTAATTTATTGTAAGTTAAAAGTTGATAATTAGAAAGCAGAAATCAAAAACACTCTTTTCTCATCTTATAAATAATCAACTTTTCTTGGAAGCTATATCAAACAATCTGTTATAGATTCTCAAATTAAAATAAGTTATCCCAATGATAATGGCTTTGTTTGAGAAATTGGCTATTTTTGTTGATTATTTAATTCTAATTTTTATTTTTTTTGGTTATGTTTGCTTGGCTAAAATAATTATGATTGAGAAAATAATTTGATTTTTTTAGTTGATTTGACGATTGTGAAAGAAAAAAATAAAATGTTAACAAATTAAATGTGATATTTTGTCTTATTAAAGCTATGTTTGACATATTGTTTTGGGGCTATTTTAGCCATAAAAAAGATAAAATAGGCTAAAAAGCTAATAAGACAGAATGTCGCATTCAAATCATAATCATTTTATTTTTTTCTCACAAAAATTAAAAAAAAATCAAAAAGTTCATCACTTTTTAGCCCAGACTAAAATAGTTAAAAAGACAAAAAAAAATAACCTACATTTCAAATGAAGGTTAATTATTTTAAGGGCCATGCTACAGACCCCCAGTGGGGTGACCCCCACTGACAACCCCAGTGAGGTGTCACCCCCCTATTGGCTGAAAAAAAAAAAAAAGATATGTATAAAGTAAATAATTTTTTTTTTTGACTTTTAATTTTTTTAATAACTTTTTAATTAAAAAAATCACTTGCCAAACCAGGCCATGGGACCAGATATTACCTTCCTTTTATCTCCTACTTTATCCAGAAGTTATTCAATATTCCTAAATCTCCAACACAAAATAGTAAATTTCATAATTTAGTTTAATAATTACCCATTTAAGAACACTATCTAGTCTTACTCAAAAAAAAATTAAATAATTTCTCTCCAAACAGTTGGTTACCCAACCAAACAAGACGCTCTTTACTAACCGTAATTCTCAAATTCAAATCTGGCCGTTACGTTTATTTTGACAATTTATTTTACGAGTTAAAAAAATACTATAAGAAATTAATTCCCTCTACTTTCTACACGTCTTTTTTTTATAATAAAAAAATTAATTAAAATAATTAATTTTCAAAATAATTTGTTTCTCCTTCCTTATTCCCAATTGTTAAAAAAAAGAAGAAAAAAAAAACATCGTTGGCCATGTCATAAAATCTTGTGTGTTTAGTTTAAACAGGAAACCCCCCTTTCTTCTTCCTCACAAACACCTTATATATATATATATATATATAGAGACACAGAGAGAGAGAGAGAGACAGAGAGAGAGAGAGAGAGATTACTCTAATCCTCTTTATTGGCATGACTGTATAAATAAATATATATGTGAATGATAAGTCCAGTTGACTTAGATAGAGCCAGCAGCCAAGAACTCCAGCTTTTCAAATCTTGCTATAGAGAGAAGGAAAATAATTTGTCGATATGTATAATAGGAAAAATTCTATGGTATTTTCACTTTAGTTACGGTTTTTATGTCCAAGACTTCTTGTCGTTGATTATAATATTATTTTGATTAAAAAAAATTGCAAAAAAAGTTACTCCCTCTCCCTCTGTTCCAAAACAGTGATCTCTTTTGGAAAATTTAAATTTTTTTTTGTAATATAATTATTACGTTTTAAAAAAAGTTAACTTTTCAAATTGACCTTTAATAGTACATTTATTAGGAAATATTAATATCATAATTATACTTTTTATATTATTTATGAATTTAAGAGAAGGACAAAATAAGGAATTTATATTATTTTTATACTTGATTTTTGAAAATGGACTAATATTTTGGGACAATAAAAAATAGAATAAGAGACTAATATTTTGGAATGGAGAGAGTAATTAAATAGAATCTTTATTTTAAAAATAATCAAATGTAACACCCAATTTGAAAATGGTGTTATTTGGTGTAATTTATTGTAAGTTAAAAGTTGATAATTAGAAAGCAGAAATCAAAAACACTCTTTTCTCATCTTATAAATAATCAACTTTTCTTGGAAGCTATATCAAACAATCTGTTATAGATTCTCAAATTAAAATAAGTTATCCCAATGATAATGGCTTTGTTTGAGAAATTGACTATTTTAGTTGTTTATTTAATTTAATTTTTATTTTTTTGGTTATGTTTGCTTAGCTAAAATAATCGTGATTGAGAAAAAAATTGATTTTTTAATTGATTTGATGATTGTGAGAGAAATAAATAAAATGTTAATAGATTAAATGTGATATTTTGTCTTATTAATGCTATGTTTGGCATATTGTTTTGGAGATATTTTAGTCATAAAAAAGACAAAATAAGCTAAAAAGCTAATAAGACAGATGTCACATTCAAATCATAATCATTTTATTTTTTTCTCACAAAAATAAAAAAAAAATCAAAAAGTTTATCTCAAACGAAACTTTTTAACGCCCGGACTAAAATAATTAAAAAGATAAAAAAATAACCCACATTTCAAATGAAGGTTAATTAATTTAGTATATTTTGTCTTTGTTGACCGTTTTAACAAAAAAATAAAAAAATAAAAAAACTAACTTGCCAATCAGGGCTAATAAAATGCAAATGCATATGAAGAATTCCACATCAATGTGGCCTATTTTTGGAAGTAGGAACTTTTTGATTTTTATTTTACTCTTTTAAAAAAAAATACAAAAAATAAAAAGGTAATGTGATCTAAATAAATTAATAAATTAATTTTTTTTAAATACCAAAATAGGTTTATATATAACATTTATTATTTTAGATATTTTAGATTAACATAAGATTAATCAATTAGGATTACTAAAATCTTACAATATGGGTCTTTTGGCAACTTGCTAAAAAAATCAATTTTTTGGTTTTTTAACTTTTTTATACAAAAAAAAATACAAAAACGTCAACTTTTTTTGTCAAAAAAGTTATCAAAAAGTCAAAAAAAATCAAAAAATTACTAACTTCTCAAAACACCACATATTCACTAAAAGATCAAAGTAACTACCAACCTCGGGCACACTTAGGCCTCGTTTGGGAACAAGTTTTTTTAGTATCTTTATTATTTTTTGGCTTAAATATGATTAAAAAAAGACTAATATGTTTGGGATAACTTTTTGATTTTTTACGAAAAATGTGCAAAAAGTAGAAAAAAATTGAATCTTTGACTTTTTTGTATAAGTTGTTGACTTTTTGATTTTTTTAATAATTTTTTGATTTTTTAACTAAAATTACCACTTGCCAAGCGAGGCCTTAGCTATCATTTGGCAAGAAATTTTTTAATTGGTTTTTTCGAGTTAAGATTTTTTTAGCTTGGGCTTAAAATATTTGTTTAGAATTTTTTTTTTTAAATTTTTTAACTTTTGTAAGAGAAAAAGTGAAATAATAATAGATTAAATATGACATTTTATTTTATTGACTATTTTAGTATATTTTGTCTTTATTAACTGTTTTAGATTAAAAAAAATTAAAAAGTAAGAAAAATTTAGTCAAAATCCCTCCATTGGACCCTTATTTAGTGAAAAAGATGGCCCAATTTATTTTTCTTCATAGACTCCTTAAGAAAAAAACACATAATTGAGTAAGGATAAAGTAAAATATATATTTTTTTCTTTTCTTTTTTTTTTCCTTTGACATTATTGTAAGAGTAATATGTTACTGTGAACCAGAATAACATAGAGTAACATATTACTGTGAGATAAAATAACATGTTATTGTCAAATTGTTGGCTACATATTTTGTACAAGCCAATTACAATTCGACGCGTGGCAGAATAAGGGTAATATAGAAAAACTATTCAAGTCTTCGATCCTAATCGTACACGTGGCAGTTAGTATTGGTTATTACGAGATCTGAGTAGTAGTAGATCAACAAAGATATGCAAGATGATGTGACTTCAACGGTTACTCACATTTAAATTCAAATTTAAGAGGGAAGTCTAACTGCAAGTAATAGCATAGTGGAGCTAATTATAAGGCAACATGATCAGCAATCATGTAGGAACAGTTCGACGGTTAGAAATGCAGTTCGATGGTCATCCTTGAGAAGTATAAATAGCAGAGAAGGCCCACAAAAAGACCCCCAGACTCAGATCAAAAAAACCAGTCTTATTCTACTTATTTTTCTTTTCAATTTTACATTTCCTGTTCTTTACATTCCTGTACTTTAAATTCCTGCACTGCACTTCGTTCATAGGAGTAGTTTCAAATAGTAGATTGTTGCTGTAAACCTCTACGAGGTTGAGTTTGGATCATTGTAAGTTTTTCATTTTAATGAAATGCTTCAAATTATTCTTCATTTAATTGTTATCTTGTTTAATTCTCCTAAATCAAGCTACCAGTAAAAGTCATCTTCATTAAGGCTGAAAGAACTAAAACACAATCGTCTGATAATTGGTTGGCAATTAATTTTCTGTAAGGACTGATTGATCCTTGCTGGCACGTTCGCAATTACAAAAATAACCTTCGAAAGCCAAATAGCCAACACA